GGGAGTTTGCCAAAATATCAATAAGTTTCTCAAAAGTATAGAGAATTGTTCAAGCAGCGACGTGGAGAAGTGTGAGTCTTGTTTAAATGATGTTAACAGTGCCTTAACGAAAGCATCTGAAATACTGGCGTCTATCGAAAGCAAACGCAAGGAAGTCTTCTCAGATAACCACACACTAAAACTATACGCAGAGGATGAGCTGGCCTATTTAGAAGAGGTGAAAAAAAAAAGTTGCTACGTTAAATGAAGAGCTGCAGTCCAGCTCTATGAAGCTCACGACCACTCACATCAACTTGTCAAGAGGTTTCCTATGCACACGAATAAAGCTTCTTCTTCTTTAAAAAAAAAAAGGAGAATAGAAAAAAGATCAGGAAAAACAAGGAAAAACGACTCAAGCAAAGAGCTCGTTCTCTGTTGGGGAATTTAACTTCCATCGAAGTCGCATCCCAGATTTTTGACTCTATTAAAGAGAATAAATCCTTCACTGTTGTTGAAAAAATAAACGGAGACTTCACCAGAAATCTTGTAAAACGTCCGCTACACCTAGACCCACTGGTGTGGCGTGCTAGAAAGAAGTGTTTTCACCAAGGTATTAACGGAACGTCTGCAGCAGGTAGCGGAGATATTGAGAGCAAAGAATGGTGAAGCATCAACCAGTTCCAACGTCCAGGGTGAAGTAAATGACACAAATGATGAAATTGAAGTAGATAGTAGTGGAGAAACAGACGAGGCTGAAGGGGATGGCGCGGAGCTTGATCTTTAATCAGCTTATGACATCATATAAACTTTATCGCCATTATAAACAAAGAAAGTTTTCAATTGGTATAGTACTTTTTAATTTGCAAATAGTTTCATATGAACAACAATCTTTTTCACTAGTTAACTTTAGTTATTTCGTGAATATTCAATATGATAAACGCGAAGTTAATTACTTGTATTATAAATCATATTTCTACCTAACATCTACAGGTATCAAAGTAAATGCATTTTTAATTTTTAACTTTGATGAGTCAAGCTTATATATGACAAATGATCCCCCCCTGGAAGGTCTTTAAGTGTAACTAGTCCCCCCCTCTTTGCTTTCTGAAATCGAGTGATCCCCCCTAAAATCCTCACACCCCCAGGTGATAAATAATGACGGGTCCCTAAAGCCGGCAAATAATTATTAGTCCTAAATAACCACTTAATATCAAAAATGTATACTGTCAATGCGGACACAAGTGAAAATCGTCTGCCTATGCTCTGAATCCGTATGCAAATTAGTCAAAACATTAAGTAAATTTGACTTTCAAAAATGCCTGATAATTGGATTTCACAAAATGCCAAAACTTAGTGTCCATGCTTTAAAATTAAGGCTAATTCTTTCATATTGTGTTTTTTAATACAGTATCTTGGTCTGACAAAAGTATACTAATGAATTTTTTTTGTATACTTGGAGAAAACAAACATCTATTTTCTCACAATTCTTAGAAAAAGTGATGAAATGTACGCATGAGCAAGCGTTTTTCTCTATTGTCAATACATGAGGAAGTAAATGCAAATGAGGATTCAATCCGGGGTGGTATCTTTGTGTTGCCATCCTTTGTCAAGCCATGGCTTTGAGTGTTAAATCAGCGAGATGTACATCAAAATCAATCATCTTTTTCGGATCCTTTTTCACATCCCTGGCTTCAACTTTCGCAGGCATTCAGTTGTCTCGGCTTGTCCATAAAATAAATGATAAAAAGAAAAGCACCGGAGAGAATTTCCTTTCCCCCGAATTCTTTTGGAAGTACTGGATTTACGGCTATCCAATTCTCATTGGTTTATGGGTGAGTAGTAAATGATCATGGAAATGCCACAATGAAGCTTCTAGATCATAAGCATTGTATTTTTTGTTAAAACAACATCGACGAACACTTCAAAATCTGCTTAGTCTCCTAGATACAGACTTGTCTCGATTGTGTAAATAGGAAGGCATTTTAAGAGCGGGGGTCGCTGTAAAAATCGACCAAAGGTGTGTAAAATAAAATTAAAAAAACGAAATTCTTCTTACTTAGCCCAAATGTAGGCCCAGATGAACTATTTATGAGAAAAATATTAAAAACTTCATCAGATTTTTATTTTAGGAGAACGGCGCGATTTTCTATGGTTCCGGCTGCGGACTACATTTCAAGGCCTTTTCACCGCACCAATACAGAATTCACACATGTTTCCTAATTTTATATCAGAAAGGATTTTGTCAACTTTTGAAATGAGATCAAACAAAGGGTAATATTGATTACTTACCAAGACTGTCTTTGCAGCTCTTACGTGTAAATTCAAAAAAGAGTTCTCCAATAGAATAATGTGTATCTATAAAGCACTGAATCTTTCTAAAAAAGGCTTGGCCTAGACATTGACCTTTCTTTGATTCTGGTGCTTTGATGTAATGATGATATATTGTATATTGTTTCTGTTAAGTATTTTGACGATGAAAGTGACATTTTATCAGATAGTAGTGAAGAAAAGATGTCTGAATCTGACCCAGTAAGAAGTAGGAAATGACGCTGTAAAACATATCTATTATTAGGAAAGTCAGCGAAGCGTGCAGCATAGTGCAGTTTTCGTATGACTGTGAAAAGTTCAGTGCCGTGCCGTGACCGTGATGTTTTCTAGAATTTTAATTGGCTGATTTTTTTCTCGCGCAATGAAATTGGTCTGAAAGTGCCGTGACTTTGGCGTGACCGTGTCCGCGCCGTGTTTATGCCGTGTTCTGGGTATTTGAAATGATGGAGTGTGAATTTTCGAGCAATATGATTGGCCAGCGTATCCCTAGCCGTGTCAAGAACGTGTTCGTGCCGTGAGCTTTTCACGACAACTGCTCTATTCGCGTGTCATATTATTAGCATATTATATATAACTCATCGAACTCATTATCATAAGATAACCCGTTATGTGAAAACGTTCTACACCTTTTGCTGTTCATTAACAGAAAATGTACATTCATTTGTGCC